GGGTCTCCCAAATCATAGTGTGGTACATTCTAGCCAGTACACCACACTAGCTGTCTGCTTTCCCGCTTTCTCTGCCCTTGGAAAAAGTTGGCCAACTTGCAAAAGTCATGCAGTTAGTCATTCAGATCAGTTGTGTGGCGGTCACTGCCAGCCTGTACAAGTTGTATGGTGGCTGCCTCTGGTCTCAACTAAATTGTGTGGCATCACATAGCTGTTGCCAGACCTGGGTGAATTGCACAAGTTGCATGGTGACAAGTTGCCCAGTGGTTAGTGCTGGGCTTGGCCCATATGAGTCCTCTTTCCAGGGCAGGAGGGAGGGGAACTGGGGTGGGCTGTAATGCCAAAATAGCCCTGGAAAAGGCCCCTACCCCTTCCCACACACACACTTTTAACTGACATAAAACAATGCTGGCAGTATTGAGGTTGCCTAGCAGCCCCCACAATGGCCACTGAGATCTCAGAGGGCATCTATTTCTTGAAGGTACAACTGCCGCTTCTATTAGATCTGCCAATGTAGAGGGGGGGGAGGTTGGCAGATCTTTTTCTGCAAATCTGGGATCTGTTTTGTCTAAGCATACACACAAAGCTGCCTTATACTGAATCAGACCATCAGTCCATTGTTCCATCAAGGACAGTGTTGTCTACTCAGACTGGCGGCAGCTTTCCTGGGTCTCAGGCAGAGGTCTTTCACTTCACCAACTGCTTGGTCCTTTTAACTGGAGTTGCCAAGGATTGAACCTGGGACTTTTTATTTCCATTCAGCCACAGCCCCTCCCAATCTCTGGATTTAAGTACCCACAGATGGGGCCACATTGAGAATTAGATATACTGATGATGTTGAGCAGACTGGACAACATTCTCAGAAGGAAACTGACTTAGACCTGTTGGAACAAATACGAATCAGTGTAAGGGAGCAATGTTCCTGCAGGAATTGTGTTTTGAGTACTTTTTCCCCAAAGACAGCACCCTGTCCTCTATGCTACCTGGCAACTTTCCATTCAGCCACAGCCCCTCCCAATCTCTACCTGGCAACATTTCCATTCAGCCACAGCCCCTCCCAATCTCTGGATTTAAGTACCCACAGATGGGGCCACATTGAGAATTAGATATACTGATGATGTTGACCAGATTGGACAACTTTCTCAGAAGGAAACTGACTTAGACCTGTTGGAACAAATATGAATCAGTGTAAGGGAGCCATGTTCCTGCAGGAATTGTGTTTTGAGCACTTTTTCCCCAAAGACAGCACCCTGTCCTCTATGCTACCTGGCAACTTTATTTTGATGTGCTTCGTATGAATGCAAGCATTCAGCTGAAGAGCTAAACTTCAGCTACATATCATTGCTGAAATTCAACTGTTTATGCAAGCAATAAAGTAAAAGCTTTGTTATCCAGCTTTCATGGGGAATGGGTGTGTGTGCCAGTTAATTACATGCACCCGCTAATAGAGACTAATATAGTGAATGACAATGTGCCAAACTCACACGTCAGTTGGCTCCCTTATTTCAAAGCAAATAATTTATTAGTTATTCTGGGGTTGTCAACACAACACATCTTCTGTTCTTGCTTATTAATGGGGTATTGGTAGCTGTATTATACAATTCTGCAGGGCCTGCAAGACGGAGCTCTTCCACCAAGCTTTTACATAGGGGCCGCCACTTCTACTACTACCACCACTGAAACAACGGGGTTGGGAGTGGTCCCCGGAAGAACAGTCATAAATTTGCATGGCACTGATGCCGCAGGACTGGCTTGGACCATCGACAGGACAATTTCACCGAAGGAAATGATTGCTACCATCCTCAGAGACCATCTTGTCTGCATGGAGCACTTTATCTGTTGTTGTGATTTAATGGTTTTTACTGTTTTATATTGTTTTATGTATGGGCTTATGCCCCTGTGTGAGCCGCCCTGAGCCCGTTCGTGGGGAGGGCGGGGTAAAAATGCAAATAAATAAAATAAAAATAAATAATATGAGACCGCACAGTGAGGGGGGAGAGATGGCAAGCACCCAGGCTTTATTGTCTTTCTCAAAGGCTGAAGACATCCTCTTGAGCTGGTGAGGCTCCCGCCTTGCTAGGCTTGCCATTTTCTGAGGCATCCTAACATGCTGCCCTTGCTGCACGCCTTGCTGCACGCCATGATGCTTGCAAAAGGTCTGCCTCCTCGCTCGTCAGGGGTTTCAGTGCTGAGTGAGGGGCCTTCCTTTCCTTAAGACTGCAGGAGCTGGGGGGTGCCAAGCTTGCTGCTCATCTGAGGAGGATTTGGCTGCTTCCCGGTGAATAGCCTCACAAAGTAATCCTACAACCTTGAATTACTAACATGAAATGAAAGCCTACTCTGTTGGATTTCAAAAATCTGGTTTTAGCAAGGAGTCATCTTATTTTACATTTGTACCAATGCTGCACAATGATGCTCACTGCATATTTTTCATTAGTGACTTGATGATCTATGTAACTTTCTCAGAAGAAGATTGTGTTTTATGTTTAACAAATTATGGTATAGCAATCCAGTAAAATGTGCAAACTAATTACAGTGGGGTTCAGAGTAAATGCTGTTTATGTAACAGGTTCTTGATTGGGTGGGTCCCTTTGCCTAGCTGAACGGATTCCTGTGCTATCAGCTCACAGTAGTTTTCATTGCATGGGTTCAATAAAGAGTATCAATGGCTCACTCTAGTGTAATACATGCATGTAAGATCCAGACTACATTAGAAACATTTTGCAGTCGCAAGATTTTAAACAGCAGGACCAGCTTATGAGTGATTACAGGTGTATTTGGGGTTGCCATTCTCTAGCTCCCGTAGCAACCCGAGCTGCAGTGTTAGAGGAGTCAAACAATAAATATATACACTGCAAAAACCTATTTTTATAAATTAATGTGTTCTATTTGTTCCATCTTATAAAGTGCATTGTGAGCATATACCAGGATGCCAACAATCCCCTTTAGTAGGATACAGACGGGCTAGGACCATTAGAGATATTCTAGTAAAAGCAGATATAAACAACCTAGCCCAATACACACTAAAGCAAAATATTATACAAACATATGGTCATTTCAAATGTCAAAACTGTTCTATATGTAATAATTGCTTTGAAGTAAAAGAATTTTCTTTAGAACCATATTTGAAAAATTATCTTTTACCACACTTGTCTACCTGTGCCAGTAAAAATATTGTATATGAAGCCTTCTGTGGGTGTCCAAAATATTATGTGGGGAGTTCCACACGGTCCTTAAAAACTTGTATCATGGAACATAAATCGAGATTGAGAAACAAAATTTTGGATGCACCTATGGTGGAGCATTGTATGTCAGTCCAGCATTGCTTTGAGGACGTAAAATTCTTTGTGTTTTACAAATATGAGAATCAAAGCCTCAACTGACAAGATATTAAGAAGATTCTTCTCTGCAAAGAAAACATCTGGATTCACAAGCTCCATACATTGACCCCAGAGGGAATGAACCAAACAACGGACCTCTCATGCCATCTGTGAACTGGATTACCATCGTACTTGGACAAAAAAAGGGGGAGAATATCCCCTTTAAACAGCAATGTAAAGTTTAGACTGTTATTGAACTGAAATGCATTATGAAGTGGAATGTGGACTTTTCACTACTGTCACTTAGAGAATACACATAGGAAACGTTAACAGGTGCTGTAAGATTTAATGACCAGAGAACAAGGTCAACACTAGGCAGCCTTGAGAAAGACAGGAGCGCTTAGTCTATGAACTTCAGCTGCTTAATGTGGTAAGAAAACTTTGTGAAGCCAAGTTATATTAGAAATATTGTATAATTGTTAGATTTATGAATTGTCTTTTAACAGCCCCTCGTAGGACCAGCAACAAACATCAATTTAAACATCAATGTAACCACAAAAGAAAGCTTTCCCCCTTTAGACGACTTTCAAGGAAGGAGAAGCGGGTGTATAATTCTAGAAACTCCTGCTGGGGTTTGACTTTGGTGGGAAAAAAGGATGTAAATTGACTGGTAGTTATTATACTGAATGAATTTATTATTGTTGTTGATATTGCATGTAAGGAATATATACCTGTTTTAGGATATTATAAACAGCACACAATGGAGCATATGGAACAGAGGTCCATCAGTGGCTATTAGCCACAAGGTATAGATAGGGACTCTGGGGCAAGTGATGCTCTGTCATCTTGGTGCTTGGGGGGGGGGGTCAACAGTGGGAGGGCTTCTAATGTCCTGGCCCCACTGGTGGACCTCCTGATGGCACCTGGTATTTCTGGCCACTGTGTGATACAGAGTGTTGGACTGGATGGGCCTTTGGCCTGATCCAACATTGGCATCTCTTATGTTCTTAATGCACTTTATAAAATGGAACAAATAGAACACATTAATTTTTAATATATTTTTGCAGTGTATATATTTATTGTTGGATTCTCTAGTTCCCGGCATTACAGCTAATTCCCCTGGAGAAAATGGATGCATTGGAGGGTGGACTCTGCCATTATACCCTGATTGGATCCCTCTTCCAACCCCAGCCTGAGCCTCCACTCCCCAAATCTCTAGGAACTTTCCAATCTGGTGCTGGCAACCCTACGAGGGATGTATCTGAGACCGGTACCCAGTGGGTAGGTGTACACGTCGTCCCCACCCACCCACCCCCCGGAACGCTTTGAACCAGGGTTGTACTGAGTAAGCGAAGCTGAAACATGTTAGGGCTGCTATTTTCCCCTTACGGGATGGAGCGCCCACCTGAATCCGCTATGTACATTACAGATCGGGCTAGGCACCCTTCCCTGTCACCTCTTCCCGGGTTTACAAAGGAAATCCTATTCCTGCAAGGTCGACATCAGGAACTCGTTGCCCATCCAGAGAGTTTCGAAGTCTCCAGCGCCGCCCTGCCCGGGCGGAGCGGCCTGCTTGCGACACCGGAAGCTTCTGCGCCTCTGGAGCCACGTGGCTTGGCCGTGGGGCCGTGGGTGGGCGGGCAAGGAGGCGGTAGTGGCGGCAGGCAGCCAGTGCTGCCGCTGCCGCCGCCGCCTGCTCAGGAGTGGTGGCTACGCCTGCTGTTCCGCGGGTTGCGGCGGACGAAGAGCTAGGCAGCCGGGGGTCCAGCATGGGTTGGGTGCCCCCGCGGGGCCGGCTGGCGGCGGGGCTGCTGGCCAACCTGGCCTCGTCAATCTGCATCGTCTTCTTGAACAAGTGGCTGTACGTGCGGACGGGCTTCCCCAACATGAGCCTGACGCTGGTGCACTTCGCTGTCACCTGGCTGGGGCTGTACGTGTGCCAGGCGCTGAACATCTTCGCCCCCAAGAGCCTGCGGCCCCGCCAGGTGCTGCCTCTGGCGCTCAGCTTCTGCGGCTTCGTCGTCTTCACCAACTTGTCCCTGCAGAACAACACCATCGGCACCTACCAGCTGGCCAAGGCCATGACCACGCCGGTCATCGTCCTCATTCAGAGCCTGGCCTACGGCTCTTGGTTGGGAAATACCTGGATATTGGGGGGGGGGGGGGGGCCGGGGGGGGGGGGGGGTTGAGCCGCAACAGGAGCTCTTCCCGAGGCTGGGGAGGCCAGCAGTGCCGGCTTCGAACCCGGCTTATAAAAGGAGAGGTACAGCCAGGGGCAGGGCAGGTATTCCGAGGATGCGGTGGCTTTCGCACATGTCGGTAAGAATGCCCTTTACCCTGTAGCTGGAGGGCAGATAGCAGAAATCCATGCTTCCCTCGTTCCGAGGGGTTTTTAATTTATACTGCATTTACTCCTGGGCTAAAATCTAGTACTGGAAGCAAGTATATTGCCATTGTAGTCTTGCTGGGAGTATATGCTACCCACCACCAGTTCAAAGAATGCACAGTTTGTGATATCAAGCCAATGTGATGTAGTTATTCCTTACCATCCAGGAAGCCACATTATCAGAGTGATAAAAGGGACTCCGTTAACCTGCATTGTTTCCAGGCTAAAGGGTTGCAAGAGGGATCTTTTAAATCTTATGCAGGGAATAACACTTCCAGGAAAAGAAAGGACTTGGAAACCAGGTTATACCATTTCATGGGATTTTATCGCTACATAAGCTTTAACAAGAATGTTCTCTCCTTTTATCACATTAAGAATTTTCAGGATTAGAATGCACGCCAACACAGAAAAATACTTAGAGCATTTAGTTAGCCCAGCCTAGATTAACCCTGCCTAGAGTAAAGCAGCAGCTTTGCCTAGAGCAGCACAGAGCAATAACTGCAAGCAAAAGAAAAACCTGTAACAGTCTCATCAATCCTCCAGGAAAGTGTAGTGAGGCACACCCAACAGTGGCCAAAGATGCCTTGGTGAAAAATGGTCTTACCTCCAGCAAGGGGTCTTAAGAGCATAAGAGAAGCCATGTTGGATCAGGCCAATGTCCCATCCAGTCCACTTTGTGTCACACAGTGGCCAAAACCCAGGTGCCATCAGGAGATCCACCAGTAAAGCCAGAACTCCAGAAGCCCTCCCACTGTTGCCCTCTAAGCACCAAGAATCCATCCTACAGATGGATACCTAAAAGACAGGAAATGAGGGAGAGCAATTTATATCCTTTCTCTGAAGTTCTGCTGGAGACCCTTCATTCTTTATACCTTATTCAGTTCATCTTCCCATTCTTTTACCCCAATCAGAATTTTACAACTACTCTTGGATCTTCACCAATTCCATGACAGGCTATTTTAGCAAAAACTGTAATATGGTCATGAAAAACATGCATGCCCTGTCTGGGTTTTCCCCAGCCAAAACCCCCCAACACTGCTGGGTCAGGTCATCCTATGCTGGGACTGCTCCCAGCCCCACTTCTGCTTTGGCCCAGCATTGCTGACACGGCCATTCCTGACAGCATCTATCTTAGAATGGAACCTTTTGTGACAGTTACCCCTTTTTCACATTCTCAGTTTCCCCCAAAACCATCCCTTTAGGAGTTTCAAGTTACTGACAACAGTTAATACAGTAGTGTATACATGGCGCAGGCTCATAGTGTTAATTTGTATGTTGAGGCTTCTCTTGATTTGACAGAGTTGGGGTTTTAGTACTTTCACGGTGTAGATAACATACATTTTTATAGATAATTATGTTTTTCCTATCCCTTCCAGATGCCTATAACCTTAGGTGTTTTCCTAAATTCCTATTATGATGTGAAATTTAACTTTCTTGGAATCGTATTTGCTTCACTTGGAGTTCTTGTTACTGCCCTTTATCAAGTGGTGAGTAAATTAGTGCTTTTCACCATATGCAATTCAAGGGGTTTTTTTAATAGCCATGTTGATGTAATGTTCCAAGTTTGTCCACCCCCCACCCCCCGCCTTGCCCTATGCCGCTCTGGTGGAGAAGCATCAGATCAGGAATTGTGATGCAACTTTATTTTGAGCAGCATGGAGAGCTCTTGACCCAAGTAAATACTCAGTTGCTTCTTTGCCAGAAAAGTGCAATCAATACTATGGCTTGAATACACATCTTCACATTTGGATGAAATGTGCACCATTTCTTTTTTTGGAAGTACGGTAATAATTGCAATAGACTGCAAAAATGTACAGTTGCTGATCTGAAATTGCAGTTATATTTCCCTTCTTTTGTACTCCATGCCAGAGGCCTGGGTCTTACTAAATATTTCCAATGACGCAAGGATTTCCATTAGTAGAGCCCCTCTCTCACTTAATGCCTCCCCCCAGTGCTTTTCCTGAGAAACAGGAGACACGCAGATACAGCACGACAGTTGGACATTTGTAACTGGAGAGGGGAATTGGTGAAAATTGCCCCAGAGAGTGGAAATCGGGGAACAACAGTCCCGGAGGCACCCACTTGAATGTGGTGTCCCTCAGGGGGCAGTGCTTTCCCCGATGCTTTTTAACATCTATATGCGCCCTCTCGCCCAGATTGCCAGGAGGTTTGGGCTGGGTTGTCATCAGTATGCAGATGACACCCAGCTCTATCTGATGCTGGGTGGCCAGTCGGGCTCCGACCCTGAAGATCTTCAACAGGGATTACAGGCCGTGGCTGAGTGGCTCAGACTGAGCCGGTTGAAACTGAACCCAGCAAAGACGGAGGTCCTGGGCCTGAGTCGGAACGGTTTGGGGTTGGGGCTCCCTCTCCCGACCTTCGATGGGGTACCTTTGGTGCCTGCGTCGGAGGTTAGGAGTCTGGGAGTGCTCCTGGATTCCTCCTTGACAATGGAGGCCCAGGTAGCTGCCACTGCCAGGTCTGCATTCTACCATCTGAGGCAGGCTCGGCAGTTGGCTCCCTTCCTCGACCGCGAAGATCTGGCTACAGTGATCCATGCGACGGTCACCTCAAGGCTAGACTACTGTAACGCTCTCTACATGGGGCTGCCTTTGTCGTTGATCCGGAGGCTGCAGCTGGTGCAGAATGCGGCAGCTAGGCTGCTGATGGGCCTCCCCAGGTGGGAGCACATCAAGCCTGGGTTGAAGGCGCTGCACTGGCTGCCTATAGCATACCGAATCCGCTTCAAAGTGCTGGTACTCACCTTTAAAGCCCTATACGGCCGGGGTCCGACCTACCTGAGGGACCGCCTTTCCCCGTATATACCCCCAAGAGCACTGCGGTCGGGAACTGAGAGCCGCTTAGTGGTTCCGGATTCCCGAGAGGTGCACTATGCTGCGACAAGGGCTAGATCCTTCTCAGTGGCGGCCCCTACCTGGTGGAATGAGCTCCCGGAGGAGATCAGGGCCCTGCGGGATCTTATGCAATTCCGCAGGGCCTGCAAGACGGAGCTCTTCCACCAGGCTTTTATGTAGGGGCCGCCGCTCCCACCACCACCAACGGTGGAAGTATCATCAAGTTGGATCGCCCTTGATAGCCCGGCGGCAGGGTGAACTACATGGCGGCAAGATCAGCCAATTAGCTTGGATTATTGCTGCCGGAATTATACAACTAATGCTGGCAGACCATCTTGGAACTTAAAGAACTTAAAGCACTTTATTATTATTACTGTTAGTATGTCATTGATTGTATCTCTGTGATTTTATTGGATTTTAATGAATTTTATGTATGGGCTTATGCCCCTGTAAGCCGCCCTGAGCCCGCTTGCGGGGTAGAAATACCTGAATAAATAAATAAATAAATAAAATCCTTTGCAGAGTCCAATTCATTGATTCTCCCTTGTGTATACTTAAGCATGGGAATCTGATACACACCCAGGGGTCATTTGGGGGGGGACGCGGGGGGACGCCATCCCCCGGGTGAGGTGTGGGAGGGCGGGGCCTGGAGCTCCCTGCTGGTGCCCGCTGGAGGTCGCCGCCGGCTGTGGGGAGGACACACTTCTGGTGATGCCAGGGGGTGTGGCATATGCTAATGAGTTATGCTAATGAGTCCCCCTAGCTCTTTTTCTACGAAATTACCCCTGCCTGTAGTAAAAATGTTGCCTTGGAGTACCATGGAACACCATTTATCTGAATAATCTGTTTAGAAAAGAGGACTTTGTCCCAGTTTGGTTGTTCTGTTTTCCCCTAGTTGTGGCAGGAGGTGTACAATAATGCTATTTTTAAAGATGGGAGCTAAGTCTGAGATGGAAATATCTGTTCAAAACCTAGACTTTCCTGGGATGTCATTGAAAATGGATGGCATTAAAATAGATCAAGCTTCAGGTTTTTTTAAAAAGATCCAATTTAAATGTAATCTGTTTAAAATTAAAGTGGTTTAAAATTAACTCTGAATTTAATGCAAACACGTTTGACTACACTTATTCTTCAAGTTCAATTGTGACCACATGTTCAGTTTCCGAATTCTGAATATTTATTTATTTTATTTAATTTCTACCCTGCCATTCTCCTCAGTGGGAATCCAAAGGGCTTACATCATTATCCTCTCTGCTATTGTATTATCATAGCAAACCTGTGAGGTAGGCTAGGCTCAGAGTGTGGGAATCTCCCAAGGTCACCCAACAAGCTTCCATAGCAGAGTGGGGATTTGAACTTGGGCCTCGAACCACCACACCACAATTGAGAAACATTATTTTGCCTGCTAACTCACACTGCACCTCTTGCATCTGGAAATTTCTGAGTGTTTACAGCTTGGTGGCATGTTTACAAGGATGTATGTCCAAGTGCCCCAAGTATGGACAGCTGCCCTGATCTCCAAACAAATACATCTGTCTCTTAGCAGACATAATTGTGCAGTGCATGTGGGCTGCACGACCATAAAAGCTGAACTGAGTTACAAAGCAACATATATTTTAAATATTACAGCAATCTGCTAGTACACATGTTCAAAAATATATATTTTACAAAAGAAATGGATTTAAATGCATGGTTGACATTGGTCTTTTTATTTCAGTGATTTAAATTGCATTGATTTAAATAAGTCTACTCTGGGCATTTTGGATCCAAAGTTTAATCACAGTGGTTTTCCTGTCAGCATAGGCCAGTGTAAAAAGAAAATGCATTTATCTAGGCATCTGAACTTTCAAATGCTTTGGATACCCTCACAGGTAATTTAGGCAAATGAAGCTGTATTGACCAGATAGATTTTTTTTTGTTAAAGTAGGTAGTAACATGGTTATTAAGTACAGTTTTGTAACTGCCCTTTCATATTAGAGCTAGATGTTTCACATTACTAATTTATAAATATTGTTTGGTTTTAGTGGGTAGGAGCAAAGCAACATGAGCTACAAGTAAACTCTATGCAGTTGCTGTATTATCAAGCCCCGATGTCCTGCGGCATGTTGTTGTGTGTTGTACCCTTCTTTGAGCCGATGTTTGGAGAAGGTGGATTTTTTGGACCGTGGACACTTTCTGCTGTGGTAAGGTTTTGAGAAAGGGTGTCTTAAAAGCACAAGGCATTTGGGCTTTGGCATATTCATCTATGTGAAGCATAGTGGGAATTTGTTGAAAATCCTTTCATAGTTTCAACCAAACATAATTTTTGGAATAGCAGCCTCAAATGTAGGAAAATAAAGAAGTCCAAGCTTGGAAGCTTTGATTGGAATGGCCTGATCTAAGACAGTGGATTCAGACATCTGTTATCCAGCCTGACCATTAGGTTTTACAGGTGCCCATTACTAGGAATCACAGAGAATAATTTGTAGAATCTGAACAAGTTGTGGACACCAAAGTTCACACTGGTTAGACTGTTCTTTGCTTAATTATATCCTTAACTGATGGTTGTGGAGTATATAACTCAGGACACCAATGAGATAATTCCAGCCATTCCGTTTCTCAAAAGTAAATGCCAGGTTGGGAACAGAACTAACTCCATCTTCTGTTGTTTTCTATTGGAGTTCTTGTCATTGTTCTGAGCAGGACTAGACAGGGAAGTAAAAATGGCCCTAAAGGAAGCCCAGCTGAGCTTCCCTCTTTCCCCTTGACACTACCCAGTCCCAACATCATGTGAAAGCAAACCATAACTTGCTGAGCTTCTTGAGTCCAGGATGACCTGGGCCCTTGGAATGTCTCCCACCCCCAGCATCCCTATTTATCTGGGAGTGAATTCCTAATCTGTTTCAATATCGCTTGCTTCTGAATAAATAAAGGCTGCCTTTGTCGCAAATTCGGAAGCTGCAGCTAGTGCAGAATGCTGCAGCCAGACTGTTGATGGGTCTCACTAGACGAGATCACATCTGGCCTGTGCTGAAAGCGTACCGAATTTGCTTCAAAGTGCTGGTTTTAACCTTTAAAGCCCTATATGGTCAGAGTCCGGCTTACCTTAGGGACCGCCTCTCCCCGTATGTTCCCCCAAGGGTACTACGGTCGGGGAACCAAAATCTCCTGGAAATTCCAGGCCCTAGAAACATCAAACTTGCAGTTACCAGGAACAGGGTGTTTTCGGTGGCGGCTCCTACCTGGTGGAATGAGCTCCCATAAGAGATCCGGGCCCTGAGGGACTTGGTGCAGTTCCACAGGGCCTGTAAAATGGAGCTCTTCCGCCAGGCTTTCGAGTAGGGGCCACCGCCACCATCATTACACTATCATAATTACGTCACCATCATTCCATATGCATCCCCCTCTTTATTCCCAATAATTGACCATCTTCAGAGCGGGTACTATTGGGGGCGTGAGACGTTCCTGGCAGAGGACAAAGCTATTGGGACGTATATTGTTGCTGCTATATATTGTTATTACTGTTGTTTGTTGTTCTAGTATAAATAATTTTAGAACCCCATCTTGAATTTCATAGTTAAATATTTTTGGAGCACCGTAAAGTAATTTTTAGCAAACTGTATTTATTGTATTTTATATTATTCTGTATTGTTTTAGTGTCTGAACCTGGGCATCCGTGCCCCTTGTGAGCCGTCCTGAGCCTTCGGGGAGGGCGGGATATAAATTTAAGGATAAAAATAAATAAATAAATAAATAAAAATATACATAGGACATGCATATACAGCATGCCACCTCCTAGTGTAAGGATGGTAGTGCTTATATCATTTAGTTGGTCTCTTACACTTTGGAAACAGGGTGTGAGAGACTGACCAAAGCCACGTAGGGCTATAGAAAATGAGGATGCCTCATAAATCATGGGGTCACCATAGTTGCTTCTACTTACAGCGTATATGTACCAGGTAGTGGCCTATTCACCTCTGGGGTGAAGGTAAGGTTGGTGTTGGACTCTCTCACCAATTCAAGAACATAAACTAGATTGAAAGAGTTCAGAAATATCCATACCTCCCTGAGGAGCTCTTCATGCCACTTGTTTGAGATTTGTTTATATCCTGTGTTTGATTCTCACCTTGCTCTGTTCTGTTGCACAGTGTCACATCTGTTCTCTGTTTTTAAAGTAAGCACTGATGGAAATGTATTGACATGCTTTATTTTGTGTGTGTTTTACTTATCCACAGTTTATGGTGCTGCTGTCTGGAATAATAGCCTTTATGGTGAACTTGTCTATTTACTGGATCATTGGGAATACTTCGCCAGTCACGTATCCTTTTCCTTATTTGTCATTACTGTTGCTGTCAGTTGAGAAACATTTCTCTATTATTCAGTCTGGTATAGCGATATGAGGACATCTTGCTGGGACCTAGAATATATTGTAAGTCACTTCCAAAGGCTGTGTCAGCTAAGTCATAGAAGTTCACCTTAGAGTGCCCTACACAGGTGGATATTGATGACCGTGTGTTTGCCTTGCCTATCTCTTTGACTGTGGTGTGTTTGGTTAGGGCAGTGTTGGTTGTGGCACTTCGAACTGAGTGTGCAGTGATCCCAGATGGTATTTCAAATATTGAGCTTTGTAAGATTCAATAATGTAGGTCTTAAGGGTACTGGTGATGTCCAAATTGACATCTTCTTTCCTTCATTCAGTGGAGAGATAAAGATGAATAAGGAATCAATTTTAAGTGTACGTCTTACTTCCAAGGCCTGCTGCAGTTTGTCCTTTGGATGGATCGGATTCAGGTGAAATGAGGAAGACTAAAATCTCCTGGGACCTGTGAAAGGTCAAATTTGCCTTCGGTGTAAAGGCAGTATCTGTCTTCATGACCCTTTTCTCTCTATGGAAAACTCATAGTTCAGGTTTGACTGAACAAGTACCTAGAACAGAAACCCTCCTACCTGAGGTGCCTGCTACAAGAAAAATAAGATTTTCATCCTCAGCCATTTAAGTGGAATTTCTTTAATAGGATCAAATAGTGTCTGGTGAAACCGAGACTCCTCTCCTGAAAGTAAGGGCTGTGGCATGGGTATGTGCCCCACGCTTTCCACAATGAACACAGAAGCAAAAAAGTCATTGAGTTCTTCTATCATCACCCCATCTTCCTTTAGCAATCACTTTATTCCTTTGTCATCCAAAGACCCTGTTGCTTCTCTGGCTGGTGTCCTGCACCATATACATTTTTAAAATACTTATTGTTTTGTCTTGATGGTTTTAGCAACGTGCTTCTCAAGATATCTTTTTGCATGCCTAATTATTGACTTACATTTCTTTTGCCAGAGACTGTGGTCCCTTCTGTTCAGTTCATTGGGGCATACCTTCCACTTTTTAAAAGAAGCCTCCTGTTAAAGTGCACTGTCATTTATGACGACTAAGAATCTCATTTTTGCAGCATGACCCAAGCACACATTTACCCAGACAATGTGAGGTTAATTGAAGTCTCCCAGTATAATAATAGCATCTGCTTTAGTCATCTCCCTTATTTCCTTTTCCATCTCAAGATCAGCCTCAAGGTTTTGATCAGGTGGTCGACAGTATACCTCCACTTTTAAGTGGCCCTTAGGGCCCAGTATTTCCACCCATATAGCTTCTGTTGTGGAGTTAATTCCCCTGATGTTTTCTAACTTATTTGATTTTATGCTGTCTTTGATGTACAACACAATTCCACCAACAACCCGTCCCTCCCTGTCCTGCCTGTAGAGCTTATACCCAGGAAGGACTATATCCCATAGATTTTCTCCATTCCACCACATTTCTGAGATACCTAAATTGTTATTGAACACCAAGTACTCCAGCTCCCCCATGTTGGCTCAGAGACTTCTAGCATTGGCATATAGACACCTATAATGTATTTCCCTCTCCAGTATCCCTTCCCCCCCTCAGCCTCTTAGTTGCTACACATGGCCCTCAGTCCCATGATCGGTTAAACTACTATCAATATTACCCTGTTTATGCAGTCAACCCTTTGGACTGACTTGTCCCGAACCAGAAGCTTCCCAGCTCTGTTGGCTTTCCCCCCAGGATTAGTTTAAAAGCGGCTGTGACATCTTTTTGATATTAGTTGCCAGCAGCCTGGTTCTCTTTTAGTTCATGTGAAGCCTGTCTTCTTTGTACAGGTTTGGCTTGTCCTAGCAAGTTCCGCAGTACCTAACAAATCTAAACCCTTCCTTCTGGCAACACTTTCTCATCCACGTATTGAGACCCCCTGATCTGTGCCTGTCTAGTTGGCCCTGCTTATGAAACTGGCAGCACATCTGAGAATGCTACCTTTGAGGTCCTGGCCTTTAATGTTCTGCCTAGTAACCTAAATTTCTCCTCCAAGACCATGTGACTACATTTCCCAATGTCATTGGTGTCTCAACGTGCACCATGACTGCTGACTACTCTCCAGCACTATCAGTTTTTTTAGACAGTGTGTGATGTCTGCAACTTTTGCACCAGGCAGTCAGATCACCATGCAGTCAAAATGCCTGTCACAGACCCCACTCTCTATATTCCTAATGATTGAATTACCGACTACCAGAAACCCACCTCTCCCCAGGAGTGTCCTCGGTATGAGAGGATATCAGGCCATTGCCCAGGGAAGGGGTCCCTTCTAAGGGATCACATCCCTCCTCAGACTGATGCCCCCTGACCTCCAGACTCTCACTCTCCACAACAGCAGAAGAGCTGTCAGCACAAGAGTGGGACTGTTCTAGTAAGTCCCTGAGGGTCTCTTCCCCAAACCCCCTCTCTCTCTGCCTCAGCTCCTCCAGGTCAGCAACCCTAGCCTCAAGGGAACAAACCTGCTCCCTGAGAGCCACCCAGTGGGTGGATCATCATATATGTGGCACTCTCTGCAAAACACTGGATAGCTCCTGCTCCCCTGCTGGCTTTCTACATTCGTCACTGGTTAGTGGACTACAGGTGGAAGGATCCACATTTATTAATGTTTCCTATGTAAACAACTCCCTGTGAATAAAATATTAGCACAGTGGGAGCAGCCTGAACTTTAATCTTCCTCTCTTCTATGCTTTTTATGTTGGGGGGAAATGCAGAAATCACAGTCTGAAGTGGTATGGTTCACTTTAGGATTATAACTCTTCACTTTGCTGCATATATAGACCCGGCCAAAGACAACAAAGAATGAGCAGGCAAGAAATATTTTATCACTTTAGTGACTAGAAACTGCAGATAAGTATCTAACAAAGGCAGAATTGTGCTGGTGAATACCTTTGAAAAGAAAAATAAATGTAGAAAATGCAGAGATCAATTCTGGATTTAGGTGACATGTTTATGATGCTCCAAATATTAAATTAGATTAATTAAAATGATGGTGCTGTCAGTTAGAGCTGCCAGGTCTTCCACTGTGGTGGCAGACCATAATATGGAATGTGGTCATTTTATTATGTCTTACATTATTTAAACTTCATTAAGAAGTTGAAAGAATATTAACATGCTGTACTGAATTTTGCTAGCATGAGTTTTTCAGGCTTTTACTGCTTGGGTGTATTTTTATTGCTTCATTGAGCTAAATGCTTAGTTATACAGAATGAATTTACAGGGTACATTATATGAGTTTTATCTGAAGCATTAAAGCGCGTATACTGCTGTTTTATAGTAGTCAAGAGTTACTTAAAAAGCGAAATCATAGTTGACTGATTGATGGGGAGTCAACTAGCTAGCTAACCCAGAATACAATCTTTTGTAGAGTTAGACTGCATTAAATCCCATTGACTTCCATTGGGATTTTATCAGGCTGACTCTGCAGAGGTTTGCAGCCTTTGAGAATAAATAAGTACTAAATAAGTATGGAATGTTGTTCCCCATTTGACTATTGTTTTAATAATGCTCCTTAACAGAAATGTAAAGATACAATATGTTTGGACACTTCAAATTCTGCATTACTCTCCTGGGAGGATACCTCCTATTTAAGGACCCTTTGTCCATCAATCAAGGCTTTGGGATTGTGTGCACATTATGTGGTATTTTAGCTTACACCCACTTCAAACTCAGTGAGCAAGATGGGAGTAAGAGTAACTTGGTTCAACGTCCATAGATCAAGGATGGATGTGGAAACAGTTGTTTAAAATATGCACTGATTTTAAAACAAGCAAAATAGCTGGATAAGACAATAGCTGCCTCCTATTATTAATGAGGGTAGTGTAGTGATGTTCTTTGGAAAAAATCAGGCATTACATAAAACTCAGCTTTTATAATCATGATCCATTTTTTATTAACATGTGCATAATTTATTTAAGTAACAGACTATAGTTCACGTTGAATTACAGTGGCAGTTCTAAGAAAACACTCTTGTTTATACCAAATGAACTTACTAGGAGAGATGGGAGATTAAATGCCAAAAGAATTCATTTTTTCCTTCTGATCATGTCAGTGTTACATTTGTTAGAAGGTTTGGAGAAGAGTTTATATGCTAATGTTGTGAAGTCAAATGAACATTGTTTCTTCTTGAACTAACAAATCAACTTTTGTGGCTTTTTTAAATGGACTATTGAATGTAGTCTTGTTTCTAACATGCATGGATACTTTTTAACTTTTCCATGTTGAAGATCCAGTAGAAGCAATAATTCTGGATACTTGGGAGTCTGTGGTAATTAAACCAAATTCCAGTATTCCATAGTTAAGGCTTTGGAAGAGTCTGATTCTTTGTAGACTGATTAAGTTTCTGAAGTCAGGAAACATTTTGAAGCAAAGGGCTTCAAAAAAGGCTGGGCAAACTCCTGTAATCAGAACTATATTTATACCTCAATATTGGCCTACATGAGAGGGCAAAACCCATTATCTTGGCCCAATGCAGATGTAGTGTTTCTGGTTCCTTAAAGGATTTACTTATATCCTCTTATCGTGTGGAACTTCACTTTCAACTTAGTTGTTGTGTAGTTAGATGTTAAGTGTTGGATCTGCATTGATTAATACTAAGCAGGGTTTGCTCTTAATCAGGATTTTTAAAGGGATTTTTCAGTCCCTCGTTCCAGATCCTGATTAAACGTGAACAATGCTTTGCATTAACATTGGTGTTAACATAACTCAACTATAGAACAAATGTAGAGTCCAGTAGCACCTTTAAGACCAACAAGGGTTTATTCAAGGTATCTTCGTTGGTCTTAAAGGTGCCACTGGACTCTACATTTGTTCTACTACTTCAGACCAACATGGCTGACCATCTGGATAACTCAGCTATGGCTAAGCTGGCTGACGGACAGATCTTCATGTGAGTGGAGAATAGCTGGAGAGGGGAAGGAAGCATAAATTCCTACAGCCTACCCCTTAACTTCAGTAAGGTATCAGAACAGTTGCATATGCACCCATGCCTTGTAAATGAAGTACAGAAGCGTGAACCAGATGATGGAACGATTTAATCAGATGAGATATTATGCCTTAAATTGACACAGCAAGAAATGTCACATATCTGTAAAATATGGAACTGGGGGAGGGCTTTTAGGAAGAACTGAATATTCATAGTAATTACTTTTTTCTAAACTAAATGTGCTTACTTATTTAAAAGAAGTGTCTCTACCTGTTTAGTACTATCATAGTTTACAAATCCAACACACTTTTGGGGAATTGGCCAGTTTATGGTATGTCAGAGCGGAGGAGTGAAAACCTAAAATAATCTGGATGGATGGACTCTGCCACTAGGATAGGTGATAGGTGGCTTACATGACAGGATTTATATCTTACACAGGGTCCAGACTCTAACTTTAAAAAGTAATCATCTTAAGCAGTGTTATGCATATGTAAACAGTTAACATATTCTTGGAAATGCTCACATTATTCAGACCATTGTTTTATCTGAGATAAAATATGATGGTTCTTTATCTATCCTGGCAGCTTGCTCTTTCAGAGAGAGTACAAGCCCTGAGGTTGCTGAGGAGCTGTGTGCCTTTGTTCCACAGTAATGCACAGATTCCCATTCTGACCGAAGACTGTGGCCACGTGTTTAAAATGGGGCCTTTTATATAAAGCTAGCTCTAGAGAGGGCATAGCTTTTTCCTGAGAAGTTTCAAAGTTCATTTGACATTCAAACTATAAGAACAATTATATAAAAATGCCATTTGGGTTTTTTAAAAAACTCATGTATAGAAGCGACCATAACTTGGTGGACTGCATTCATGGCATTTTGTCTTGATTCCTGTCATTTTAAAAGGAAATGGGATATGAGCTGGAACAAATAACGGAATTCTGCAGCACCCTTTTATAAGTGACCGGGTGTCCTTTTGCAAAAAAAAACGGACAAAGAAAGATCATGTCCCAAGTGACATGATGTTTCAATGATGATGGTGCAGTACTGAACAAGCAGCCTTGCAAAAGTGCAGCATGGCCTGTTTTCAGGTGGTTGATTATTTCACTGTCAAATGTTTTGTATGTGTTTAAAGCATAATTTCTTAAGTAGTGTACACCATTTTGGATGGACCTTTCCAGTATTATGAGAGCCAAAACATTTCATCAAATGACAAACCGAAGGATTTTTTAAATGACATTTTAATGTATCTGTAATTAGCATTAAAATAGGCTGCAGAATATGATCTTGAAGTGCATAGTGTTTTAATGTATGCACTGATACAGTAATTTGCACTTAAGTTTGTGCTGTGCACAAGCATTTCTGAGATGTAAATACACCATAAGGATCTGTTTAGTCAAAAACAGGTGCCTGCATAAGGACACAAAATAGCTTCTGGCCACAGTGTGGTTTAAAGAGCTATAATATTCCTGCAAGTCAATCCTGTGTCTACAGATGAAATAAAAAACAAACCCTAACTATACCAATAGTCTTTTCTCCAATCTGTTCCCCCCTAAAATATTTTCAGACACAGGAGAGACTTGTGCGTCTTCAGCCCATTATGCTGTATCATGGTTTGTGATTGTAAGATGACATTACTGTAAATACAGTGTACAATAAGAATGTACAGGGTACAAAATGGCTGGACTGGAGTTGGTACTTGGTGGCAAAAATGTAAATGAAATGTACATGCTATTTAACAGTGTTCTAAAAATATATTCATCCTGTAGTGGGTAGAATGAAGATATGTGTTTTGTGTTGTTTTTCCCTTATGGGAAGCCTTTTTGTGTGTTTACTTACTGTGAATAAACTGGTTCTGATGCCTTTCCTCTGACTTTTGTCTCTGAGGCAGCACCATTACTTGTATCCCTGGTTTCAGTTTGAAAAGGTTTCAGTTAACAAAGGGTGGTGCTGCTTCATTCTTCCACTGAAGAATATATTGTTCATGTTTGGAAGACATGATGAAACAAGACGAATGCTGCATGCACTTCCATGTTCCTATAACTGACCTTCAGCTCTACAGCAGCATATTTAATGTGATAGGTCAGACCTCTGCACACTCTTTTAGAACCAGAGTGACTGGTGCCACTTATTAGATTACTTTGTCAGGTCAGAAGAGGTCATTTTATTCACTGAAATGGTTATACTATCGCTCAATGGTTTGTTATTCTCTGGCTGGGTTTAAATTTATAACCTCTAATGTTTGTGGGAGAGGAGGCATAAAAAATCCCCTAAACAAGTATGTAAACAGTAGTGCAAGTGGTGCGTGCCTTGTAGCAGAGCAGTTTGCCCTTCTAGCAATTTACAGAGGGTTACACAGACCACTGAAAGATAATTCCATTGATGGCTATTAGCCGTAATGGCTAAATGCAACGTCCTCTCAATATGCATTACTGGAGTGGCAACAACAGGATGAGGCTTTGTCTCTGCCACTGCTTCTGGGCCTTCTGGGCATCTGCTTGGCCATAGTAAGCATAATAATGGAAAGAAGAATAAAGTCCCAAGTATTTTACTGTGTCTCACTCCAGCAGCCTTGTAATGTCAAAGTCCAATTTGACGTGCAATTCATCGTGGGGTGGATATTTCAGAAGTTCCATAAACCATAAAAAGCCATGACGCGTAGTGCAGATTTCGAGTTGTTCTTATTCAAAAGCAATAGGCTATAAGGGGACCCAATCTCAGTAGAAGGCACATACAAAGCCAGTATAATCAGTCAAGAAGGATTATGAATAAGAACAACTCGAAACGCGGCAGCCAGCATCCGGACTACGCGTCATGGCTTTTTATGGCTTAGGGAACTTCTGAAATGTCCACTCCATGATGAATTGCACGTCAAATTGGACTTCGATATTGCAACGCTACTGGAGTGAGACACAGTAAAATACTTGGGACTTCATTCTTCTTTCCATTATTATTCTTCCTTTTGTATCTTGGTTACACCTTGGCCAATATTGTTATAATATTATATGTTTGCATTATTGAATTATTATTACACATTTCATATATTGGTTATCTCTAGTCAGTGGTTTTTGTGCTTTGTTCCTGTCCTTGTACACTGGCTCCCCTTCTTTTTTGGTTGCTGGCCGTAGTAAACAGCAGGATGTCATTTAAGACAGATCATTGGTCTTATCCAGAAGAGAATTTCTTACATTTAAGGTAGAGGTATATAATAAAATAAAAGACCCAAGAAAGATCATATAAGGTAGTTGCTAATATTTATAGCACTAGAGTGATGCATAAAAAGAGTAAGAACAGAATAAAGCCTTTCGTTCTTTGCTGAAAGAAGATCACTAGCAATTCTGGGCTAAAGTTTCTGTAGCCTTGAAAAGACAAAATACCTTCCAGGCCTTCATAAAAATGGACAGAGAACCTTCTGTTGGGTTCTGCTCTGTGCTTCAAATTACCATAAATAGCACAGTGCCACTACATATACCAGTTCAAACACAGCACTGTCTTCAAGATAAACAGGCCTTACTTTATGTAAAGAGTTCAACTCAAGCCTCACTAGCTGGAGAAAATGTTTCCTATATAGAGAGCAAAAAAATTGCTGAAACTCCACTTTTAATCCCTGTTGCAAGTTGCCTTGCTTTCTTACCCAATATATGCCATATAACACCATCCTGAGAGCAGACTGTGTAAAACAATGGTTAGGGAGGGCATTTTTGTAAATAATAGGGCTACAGTAATGTCCATGAAATTTTAGGCAGTTTGTTGCATGGTTCCTTATATGTTCTATACTGTTTGGAGCGCATTGGTTTAATTTTGCAGTATGGTTTCATTGTATTGTATATATTGTTCTTATTTGCATAGTTTTTAGCTGTATTATACTTTGTTGCATTGTTTTGAATACGTAATCTGCCTTGAGTCTCAGCGAGAAAGCCAGACTACAAATGAAGTAAACAAGCAACTGCATTATCATATGCTTTCTGGGTTCATCACCAGGTCTGGGCAGCAGATGAGGTTTGGAACTTAAATCCCAAATGTGTATGGGCTTGCTTCAGAGTAGGACTGAAGTGCACTGGAAAAAGGGGCTTAAGCCCCTCCCGCCTATCAATCTCTCTCACACACACACAAACACACACACACAGTTTTTTCAAGTGTGAAATGGCCTTGTGGAGCTGCTACTTACCTCCCTGAGGAAACCTAACATGTAGTGTTAGGGCTTTAGATGTACTGTACATATACTACATATACTCCAAGCATGGAACCCCCATACTTTATCTGTGAACAACAGAAAATGGAGCCATGAAAAGTGTAACATGTAGTTAGATCTGTAATTGGTCCTTAAGGACAGAAAATTTATGATGGAGGCTAGCATGTCAGTACCCACCAACCAAAAAAACCTGACAGTCTCAACGGCCAAACTCTGTCAAGAGGGTTTTTAAGAAATCATTAGAACCCCCCCCCCCCGGGCCTCCATCAGAATTACATCACCACTGCTAGTCACGTGACTGCAGGTGCCTTTTCCTTCCAGGCTGATCCCAAGGCCTTTAAAGTATATAGGGCAAAGTTATCATGCAGCTTTTGTATGGGGCTGAAATATGGG